CGAGGCCGCTGCCGTGCCTCGACCATGTGGAGCAGCTCTGCGACGTCTGCGTGTTGACGAAGCAGAGGCGACTCCCCTTTCCACAGCGGGCTAGCTTTCGAGCCAAGGAGAGGCTCGAGCTTATGCACGGGGACTTGTGTGGCCCGGTGACACCGGCCACACCGGGAGGACGACGCTACTTCCTGCTGCTCGTCGATGACCTCTCCCGCTACATGTGGGTGATGGTCCTCGGCGACAAAGAGAAGGTGCGGACGCCATCGAGCACGCGTGAAAGGCTGCTGCGGAGGCGAAGTCGCGCCGCAAGTCTGCGTGTGCTACGCGACCGACAACGGCGGCGAATTCGGCGGCGGTGAATTCGCGTCGTCTTTGCGGCGACGAGGGCCATTGGCGCCACTACTCCGCTACCCGTCTGACCCGCGTAGAAACGGCGTCGTCGGCGGTGCAACCAGATGGTTGTGGGGATGGCTCGGGCCCTCCTCAGCGAGAGAGGGGATGCCGTACATCTTCACGGGAGAGGCGGTGGTGACGGCCGTCTACATCCTCAACCGCTTTCGCCTACCAAAGGCGCTCGGCGGCGAGGCGCCGTACGAGGCTTGGCATGGGCGCAAGCCGGCGGTCTCCCTGCGGGTCTTGGCGCCTCGCGTTCGCCAAGGAGCTTAGCCACATCGGCAAGCTCGGCGATGGAGCACTCCAGAGTGTTCGCCGGCACGCGGAGGGCTCGAAGGCCTACCGCATCCTCGACCAAGACACGGCGGCGTATGCGCCTGCAGCGCAGCGACGTTGTGTTCGACAAAGGGCGAGATGGGCGTGGGACAAAAAGCGGTGGGCGATGGCTCGGCTCCGACGCACGGCGACTTCAGCGCCGAGTACGCCCACTTCGAGGGAGGCGGGGAGTAGGCGGCTCTTCTTCGGCGAGCGCGTCTACCCCAATCCCCGAGCCTCCACCGACCCCGGCGCCTACTACTCCGACAACACCACGCTCTCCAGCCAGGACCTCGGCTGCGATGAGTTCTTCGCCGGCTCCACCACAGCCGGCAACGCCACGCACTCCGGCAAAGATCGACAGCACCTCTCCCGCACGTCTACTCCGGCTCGTGTCGAAAGCACGGCCCGGTTGAGCTCGCTACTCCGCTCTCTCACGGCGAGGCGCGATCGCAGCGTACCACGACGGCGGCGAGCCATTGCGATACCGTCACGATGGAGAACCTTCTCGGTGACCGGCCGGTGCGGGACCGGTGCCTCACGACACGGAGGCGCGATTGCACCTTGCGTGTGACGACGGCGAGCCTCGATCGTATGCAAAGGCCGAGAGACCTTGCGCGGCATGGCGGCGCGCGATGCGATTGGAGATGGATGCGGTTGAGAAGAACCACACAGGAGCTTGCCGACCTTCCTCGTGGTCACCGCGCGATCACCCTTAAGTGGGTGTACTGGTGAAGAGGGATGAAGCCGGTGCCATCGTCAAGCACAAGGCTCGCTTGGTGGCACGAGGTTTCGTGCGGCGGGAGGGTCGACTTCGACGACGCCTTTGTTCCGTGGCGCGGATGGAGTCCGTCGCGACTCCGCGCTAGCTGCCCAAGAGGGCGGCGTGTTCATCACATGGACGTCAAGTCGGCGTTCCTTAACGGCGACTTGAAGGAGGAGGTCTCGTGCACCACCGCCGGGATTTGCGATCCCGGCAAGGAGGGCAGGTGCTCGCTGCGCAAAGGCCCTCTATGGCTTGCGGCGGCGACACGAGGGCGTGGAATGCCAAGTTGGATTCCACGCTAAAGGGGATGGGCTTGAGCAAAGCCCGCGACGAGGCGGCCATCTACCGGACGGGCGGTGGAGGTAATGCTCTGCTTTGGTGGATGTCTCGTCGACGACTTGGTGATCACCGGCACCAAGGATGCGGATGTGGCGGCATTCAAGGAAGAGATGAAGGCCACCTTCCAGATGAGTGACCTGAGGCCTCTCTCGTTCTACACCGGGAATCGAGGTGCACCGGGATGACTCCGGGATCACGCCGACGGACCGCCTCGCCAAGCGCGTCGTTGAGCTATTTGGGCTCATCGATCGCAACCCAGCTCTCACTCCGATGGAGGAGAGGTGGCGAAAGCGACGGCGACGAGCGGAGGAGGTGGGGCTTCGCGATCACCGGCATCTTGTGGGGAGCCTTCGCTACCTCGCCCCACACGGCCGGACTTGGCATTCTCCATCGGCTCGTTAGTCGGTTCATGCAATGACCGACGACGGCGGAGCACAAAGCAGGTCGTGAAGAGGATCATCCGCTACGTTGCGGGGACTCGACCACGGCCTCTACTACCCGAGGTGCCACAGAGCACACACTTCGTCGGAATGCAATGACAGCGACCACGCCGACGACATCGACACCGGCAAAAGCACGAAGCGGGATCCTCTTCTTCCTCGGCAAGTGCCTTGTTAGGTGGCGATCGGTCAGCAAGGCGGTGGTGGCCCCATCCGGTGCGAGGCCGAATACATAGCGGCCTCCACCGCTTCGACTCAGGCGCTCTGGCTCGCTCGACTGCTTGGTGATCTCCTTGGTAGAGACACTAGAGCGGTGGAGCTCAGGGTGGACAGCAAGTCCGCTCTGGCCCTGGCAAAGAACCCTGTGTTCCACGAACGCAGCAAGCACATCTGGGTGAGGTACCACTTCATCCGAGGCTGTTTGAAGGAAGGGAGCATCAAGACGAGCTACATCAACACCAAGGACCAGCTTGCGGACCTGCTCACCAAGCCCCTTGGAAGGATCAAGTTCCTTAAGCTTTGCTCTAGGATCGGGATGGTTCAACTCTCTCACAAGACGACGCACAAGACTTAGGGAGAGAATGATGGATAAGTCTCATGTGTGGCTGGTCTTTGTAGGGCTGTGCTGCTCACATGGTCCTTGTGGCTGTTTTTCTGTTTGTAGGACAGCATCTTAGACTAGAGGACAACATCTTAGAGGACATCTTAGACTAGAGAACAGCATCTTAGCTAGGACAGCATATTAGCATCTTAGACTAGCATCTTGACATATGCTTGGCTAGCTAACAGCCTATAAATATATAACCCCAACCCCTCATGTTGGTATGGCATTTGTGTGAGTTTGTATGAGAAATAGACAAGAAAATTACCCTAACTCCTAGTGTCATCCTCTCTCGATGAGAGTAAAAATTCTTCTACTACCAAGAGTGAGAATTCAGCGACTAACAACGTGCACATGGGCAAAATTTATATAAACCTTCTGATAATTGAAGCTGAAAAGCTTAAAATATTTTGTAGAAAGAATTGCTTCTAGATGAGGTCGACATAACCAGCTCCAGAACAGCTGATTGTCACGTCAACTGGGCCAATAAACAGCACTATAAGTACATAACAAGGCGCCATTGAAATCAAGGTCGTGCATACACAAAAATCAAGCAGGTCCAACTGTCCGCATCCACAATCAGGATGCTGTCAGCGACAGTAATGGTCATGCCACCATGGCCAATATGTATTCGGATGAATGGCAATATCTTGGGATGTCATAGTCACAAACGCTGACCATAAGACATAATTTAGAAAGTCGAAAAGCAGCCAAAGAGATGCAAAACATGGCACCAGCAATTTAGCATTTAGCAACAAGAGGGAGACTTCAGCTGGCAGGTGATACCTCAAGTGACAACACCTGGAAGAAAAAATAGTATCACTTACAGAAGAGACAACTCGATCTGATATTTTCCCGAGCCAAAACAACAGACAAAGAGCAAACCTGGTCACTAGGGCAGTAGGGCTTCCAAATGTGTCTGCCATGATTCTCAAGTACTAGAGAACTGAACATGGATATTATATTTGTTTATTTATTCTGATGTGATCTTTGGTTCAACAACGATCACAAATAGCAACCAAAGGACGCGTCAGTCTCAGTAGTCCGCTTTCCTCGCATAAAGGCGTGTCTATTCGGAAAACAATTTTTCACATATTCACCTCTATGATTCACATAGTAGTAGTAGTAGTAGTAAAAGATATTCCAAGGAACCTATGCCCCACATATATAAAAGAAAAGGACTTTGACATAAACGAATACAAAGGACAAATTTGCAGAAAGGGCAATGCAGTGAAACAAAGCACCAATCTTAGCATTCGTAAGAAAGTATACTAAATAGCAAGATTGGTTAGTAAAACTTGTCATCACTTGCACATTACTCAGGTTCCAGGCTAAATCCAGGGGGGCTCTACCAAACAGTTTTTTACTAAGAAGTGATTATGTGTCTGAAATGAACTAGGAGCTAAAAAAGTAGCTTCTGCTAATTCACTCCACGCATAGAGTCACTGTATGGATAGAGTTTATCCTAAAGAATCATAGAGAAACATTTTCAGTCAGAGAATCAACTTCCACGTAGAATCTAATCTAAAGCAGGAGTAGCTCCTACCAAACAGACCCTTCATCTACAGGCTGCTTAATGCAAACCATAGAAAAGTTTCGTGACTTAAATTGTGGGTCATGTTTCTATGATAATACCAGTCCGCACAGTGCTCAATGAGAGATTGCAGTTATCTTTAATTGGATATATTCAACAGAAAGTGCTTTAGGAATTCAATACTAGAATGAAAAAGTCATAGCTCTTTCCAGGATTTCAAATGGGTGACAGGCTGAAATCACATACTTTTTCCAAAAGCAACTGAACACGGTTAGCTATGCACACTTTGTAAACCTAGCTGCCTCCCAGTGTGGTTTTGCCATTGCATAAGAACATAATAACTCTCAGTCAAGAGAAGAGGATGTTTTCAAGAATGTAGAATTCTTCTATTATTTGAAATAGTAAATAACCAATGAATTTTACAACTGTAGTTTGACAAAGCAAGTTAAAATTTTCCATCTCACCAAAATCAGAGAAGGAAACAAGATTAACGTGGAAACTTGGAATTGAATATATGATAATACGAGTGTATCCAAACATATACATCTAAATCTCATGCTGTGTTAAATTGAGCAGGCATCCAAATTCCAAAATTTGACTTTCGTGCTGTTATTGCTCTCAGTGTGATTTTGAAACATACCCATCAACTTTAAAATGTACGGTTGCTGCTGGCAGTTTCAATCGTATGCCATCAAGATCAGGGCTTGCAACTACTTGGCAACCAAGGCAAGATCTGAAACGAGATATAGTTAGTTCAACCGAAACAATAATGTCAAGGGCCTGAGTATCGAGGGTAGGAGGCCCTCGGCTACGTAGATCGTAGCCTTGGTCCGTCTTCTCCGGTGAGGTTTTGCCCCTCTTCCGAAGGCTTGAGTGCGGTAGGGAGAGGAGAGAAAGTTCACGGTAGAATTCTTGATTGATCCCTCGGCTACAGCCGGATACAAGGCTTAATAGCCTGTTTTGCAACTAATTAAGGAAACTATCTCCTATAATTAAGGATCTCCTCTAATATCTCAACTAATTCTATTTCCTATCTTAGCCACTACTTCCCTTTCCTTCCTCCAGAAGATCGGGCGTGGCCCTGATAGCCGCGCGCTCAGCTGCGCGCCTCTGGTCCCTCGCGCGTCTACGGCGTGTATAGGGGAGGCCCCACATGACAAATAAGTTCTGTAGGATTTAGAAAGAAAATACACATACATATCTGTAAGCCCAAAAGCAAGGTCCAGCATATCATTTTCTTCATCCACAGGATCCTCCAATTTGTTGTAGAAGTTCACATCCTGAATAGAGCTTTTCATATCAAACTAAATTTATAGCTGTCTCAACTGACTAAAGTCTTTGTGCATAGATTGACATACCGTTACAATCACATGACATGTCGAACATGCAAGAGAGCCCTCACATGCTCCTGGTAAACATAACAAAACAACAGGCGCTGCAGCTGAATTCACACACAGCTATGAATTTACTTTACTTTTTGTCAGTAAAACGAACCAGAAACAGGCTTACAAAATTTAAGGAAAATGTTAATAGTTGAACCAAAAGGAGGTGTATAATAACAGAATGACGAGGCGGCATACTAAGGTATCTAAAGCAAAGTTCAACACAAAAGGCCTCCTTTAACTAACAGTTCAAATGATATTAATATGCACTAGAGATAAAAACAAAACGAATAAAGGCATAAAGTTTTTAAAAGCGGCAAGGCGAAGGACCTTCAAGCTCTATGTCATTCTCATGAGCAGCCTCTAGCATTGACATTCCAATAGGAACTTCAACAAGCTTTTCCTCACCATCCTTACAGACAAAAGTCACAGATATTCTGCAAGGTAGAGATTAGTCGTCAGTAAAGAAGTAAAATTATTATTACGATAAAGTATTAATCTTATACCACAACACTGTACGTGATTCATTAGATGGAACACATAAAAAATACAAGAGAAGACGGTAACAAGTCTTGGCCTTCGAATTTATATTGCTAATTAGTCAATGGAACATGTAACGTACTTCATTGTTCATACTAGGTTGGTATTCTCGCAAGGATAAAGTATATTCACAAACAGGCATAGGACTACTTGGTTGGTATTCTCGCAGGAATAAATTAAGAAGCAAATGTGAATCACAGGATCAAGAGGGATAAATTCTATATATTTATGAAATACACAGTTACACACAGGCATAGGGCTACTTGGTTGGTATTCTCGCAAGGATGAAGTATGTTCACAAACCACACCTACATGGAGTGACTTTCAATCTTCAACAAAGATTGACCACACCACATTGACAACATTGTTTAGTTAAGATTGACTACACATGGACACGGGTGCAGGTGGTGGAGCCAGACTCGGGTACAGGTGTTTGACTTGACAAACTATAGAAAATAGGATTCAGGGATTTTTCTAATACATATATAATAACTCCCTAATCCAGTTTTTTTGGTAAAAAGGAAAAAACAGTCCTCCATTCATGCATTTGAACTGCCTAAAGATTAGCACTTAGTAATCACCCCCTCAACTCACAATATGTGCATGCATTCCTTAATTTCTATATGGCCGGGTGCCCCTCTGCCACGGCCCCCCTCCCACCCTTCCCGCCGGTTTTCCCTCTCTCGCCCGGTTTTCGAGTTTTCGGAAGCTAACTATTAGAAGCTATTGGACAAAGGTAAAAAAAGAGCTCCCTATTCATTTTGTTCACTTGGCATAATCATGGTTTATCAAGTACTCCCTCCATCCCAAATTATAAGTCATTCCAACTTTCTTGGCTTTGACCAAATTTATATAATAGAATAATAACATTTATGATACCAAATAAGTATCATTAGATTCTTTATTAATTATATTTTCATAGTATACCTATTTCATGTATAAATCATTGTAATTTTCTCTATAATTTTAGTCAAACTTGAGATGTTTTAACTCTCTAAGAAAGTTGGAATGACTTATAATTTGGGACGGAGGGAGTAATTTTAAGGAGCTTTGGAGATGCTCTTACTTTTAACTTTTACAAAGTCATTTTTAAGTCTTCCGGCATAAAACAAGCTGCTACTGAACAGCATAACAAACCTCACTGAATAGTGAATATACATCAGCACGAGATAATTAAAATGGGGGAAAGGGAAAAATAATAGAGAAAAAGACAAGATCGGCTTCCATGTGCTGGCCTGCTAGCCCATCCAGCCTAACAAGTAACAAGAGACATTAAGGACACGTACAATGGGAATGCTTATGGAAAGAACTGTTAAAAGAAAAGATGGAAATGGTGGTTAGAGGGACCCAAAGCTGCTAACTTTTGTGTCCATGCTCGTGTGTGTGTGTTGTGCCTACTTTTTTTTTCCATGATGCCTCCATGGGTGCCCTCAATTCCCATGGTTCCGATAGAAAATCACGCCTGGTTTGTTACCTTAGTTTCCTTGTGACTATGCACAGCTGATCAATTCTTTCTGAAAAAACAGTCAAGCTATGCACTGCTGATAAAGTGGGACAATTCAGGAGGGCGGCTGGCTGGCAGATGCCCAGCCCTCCAGACTGAGCTCACCTCCATCGCTCCCCTCGCTCTGCATGGCGCCACGGCAGCAAGCCGCCTTCCGCCAGCCGTGGAGGATCGAACTCATCTCGCTCAAGTCAAGCTTTTTTTCTTGAATTTGTGCTGGATGGAGCTCTTCCTCACGCAAATCCATTCATTGCCTTTGGCTTGTGACGGATGTAACACCCCCTACTGAGCTGAGAAGGGAAGAGAGTTGTGTGAAGCGTGAGGTGGGTTAAGGGGACAAGCACCCTGTTCGTCGCACGAAAAAAAAGAGCTTAAATAGAGTCTAATGTTTAACAACCTAGCTAAGACCAATAATAACAGGTGCTTCCATTGTAAGTCACGTTGCTTATGTGAATGCTTAATGTTTCTCTTTAAGCACCTCCATAAGCATCGTGCATCGTACATGCTCTAACATACCCTAATCCCTCCTCCGCTCCCAACTCACGAACACAGCCGCTGCCACCTCCTCTCCTTACCCCCACTCCCTGTTCTTCTTCCCCAACACAACCTCCTTGCTGCAATAGACCACCGGCAGCGGCCATCTTCTCGCAGCTCTGACTAGCAAAATGGGTTACCATGCCTGCTTCATGTCTCCAGTGGCCTTCCCCTAGACCTAGGCTCTCTACTCGATCTCCCCTCCCTACTTAGCCACTTGGATTCACCAGAGACGAGTCTGGTGCGTGTTGACATGGGAAAAAATGTTTTGGACACACAAGTCCATAAAACACTACTTGATGGACACTCTGGAAGGTTGCCTTAGAAAAAGCTTTGTGAAATGTAGGCACCGAAACAGGCTGGCTGCTGTAAGCATAACTTCATGGCATACAAATGGCAACCAAACTTTAAGTCTGGAAGCAGATTTTAACATCACTAGCATAGAGGTCCAACAAGCATGACATGTCGACTGGCAGAATATGAAGTAGGCAACTTACAAAAGAGTTATTCAAGTAGGCTGATGGCTTATAGGTGGAGAAATGTTTAATCATGCAGTTCCCAAATCTTTTTACAATGAATTTAAAATGAGAATTGCAGCAAGGTCACTTGGCTATTTGTCTACTCAATTGAGATCATATGTTGATATGCATACCTTTTATCCCGTAAAACTCTATATGATACATTTATTGAGCTACCCTTCTAAGTCATGTCCTGATCATTGTATAATTTGTCGGTCCTGTATGTAGTTGGTCCTCTAATCAGTGTCTCTACCCATTTAAGAAATGGAATCTTAAGTGCAAACGAAAAAAAAAGGAAGAGGTTTAAGGGAGTCCACCTCATTGCCATTTTAGAATAAAAACAGTGTCTCAAACTACTTCAAAACAGAAGCAAAAACAAACCATCTCGTTGGGCATTTGATGGAAGAAATTTGATGGGCAAAATCATCAGTCAGGTGTGAATGTTCAAGGTTTCCTTAGATACTGATTCATGAATCGCACCATTGCAAGTCATATCAAAGAGAGATTGATAATTGCTAGCCAACATAGCTGCAAAAGTAATTGCATGGTTCGTTTTGATACCCTAGATTCATAATGGTTACTTTCATCCGTTCCTAATGGATAGGCATTAAATTGTAAAGGAACAGATGTAGATCTAGAAAACATCAGTGCATAATTAATGTTTCTTTTAGAGACAAGCTGATATACAGAACTAAGGATAATGGTTTTGTAAGCAAGAACTACATCCAATAGCAGCAGCTAACTGGCCAAGCAAGAAATGTGAATGTCATCCTTATCGAGGAAAAAAAACCTTTCTCATTTCATGATCTCTCATTATATGCATCGGTAAGTTGCTTAAAACATAAGTCCCAACCCAAACCGAGCCTATTCACCCATAGGCTAATTAAAACTTGATACCCTTAGGACCAAACGCGAGACACAGCAGCAACGGAAAACAGGGACGCTGCGAGGAGGACTGAACCGAGAGATGGATCACGGACCTGGTCTCGCCCGGCTCAGGGCCTGGAGGCCGGCGCCGGCGCGGGAGAGCCTCGACAACATTTGGATCCACGGAGGCAGACACGAGGAGACGCGGTGGTAATGTTCTGTATTTGATTGACATTAGGAAATGAGATACATTGACATTCACTGAATATTTGAACATTGCAATTGAACACCTAGATATGGTACTGTTCTGTACTCTGTTCTCATCACCTTGAAGCTTGAACTCTGACTCTTAGCGGCAGAAGGGGGCAAGGGGCGGCCAGGCGTCGGCACCAGCGGGGCGGCCGTGAGCCCGCGAGGTCGTGACCCTCTCTCCTGGAGACCTGGGCACCTGGCCGCGGCTCGTCGGCTGGAGACACGGCCGCGGCTTGCAGGAGGCGGCCGGGAGGCACGCAGGAGGCGGCGACGGCGACGGCCAGCGTCGGGAATCGCGCGGACGGCGGGGAGTCCGCAGTCGCGACCTAAACCGAGCGGGGAAGGGGAGAGCGTCGGGCTTCTGTGGCTCGTCTGCTAAGGTTGAGAGTTGGGCTGTGGAGGGAGCTGCTGGGCTGGATCTGCCCAGTTGTTTTGGACCACAGGGGGCCCAGCAGCCTTTCACCCGGGAGTTTGCGCCTTTGGGGTGGATTTATTAGCAGCGCCGGCGGAGAGGGCGAGCGATCGTGCGGCGCCGGCGGGCCGTAGCTGCGTTGGATGTGGGAGTTCCACCCGAGCACGGGACGATGCGAAGGTGATAATAGCTACAATGTTTGAAAGCCTAACTCGTAGAAGGTGAAGATGTGCAATTCGTCAATTGCCAAACATGTACAGTGACTTTATCCATCTTGAAAATTGTGGGGTTAGTTTTTGGATTATTTAGTTTGGTACCGATTACATCCCAAAATAGAAGTTGTTATAGGATGCATGTAGATCAAACTTTTTCAACTTTGACGAGATTTGTAGAAAATGCATGCAGTATTTATATCTCTAAATAAGTTTATTATAAAAGTATATTCAACTATCTATCTAATGATACTAATTATGTATTATAAATATTAATATTTTTTATATATTTGGTTAAATTTAAAAAATATTTGACTTATCGAAAAGTGAGAATAGCATCTATAACGGCGTGGCAAGCAGGGCCTGGCTCAAGCTCGATGGTTGTTCGTGTTGCACTCTGACCCTCTTTCGTGTTTGCTGCTCAAGCTCCTCCCATCCCACATCAGCCCCACCCTCAACCGCCCCATCAATGAAAATGTCAAAGAAAAACTCAGTGGAAGGAAACATAGGGCCTGATCGCCTGTAGCTACGGGACTCCGTGAGAGAAAAATGAGCTGGTTGTTGCAGCAGCTGCGACTAGGGGTTTATCCTCCTCTTACAAAGTACTGTAGCCGCTAACAGGCTCATATATATATATATATATATATATATATATATATATATATATATATATATATATATATATATATATATATATATATACACTAGCGTGGGTCCCCACGCTTCGCGTGGGAAGGAGGACGATGAAAAAAACGGAAAAAATTGAACGGGTGTGTACTGTTCCGTAACGGGCATATACTGTTCTGTATCGGTTTTGTATTGTTCCTTATCGGGGTGTATAATGTTTCCGTATCGGGGTGACACTGTTCCTTATTGGGTGGGGGTACTGTTCATAGCGGATCCGGTACTGTTTGTAGCCGATCCGGTACTGTTTATAGCAGACCCGGTATCCGGTACTGTTGATCTACAGTGATATGAGTCTTGGGGAAATTGCAGACAAATTTATAGTTTTATATATATTAGACAAATTTAAAGTTTTATATTATATATATAGAAGATATATATATAGGCTATTCTGCAGCTGGCCATAGAATAAGTTATTCTGTAGCCACCTTCATTTACGATAATTTTATATACTAATTTACCATAAAGTGAATACATATTTACGATAGTTGTGTTACTATAACACATGAGGATATTTACCATAACGTTATAGTAAATTACATAGCAAGGAGTTACTATAATCTTGTGAATTAGCATAATAACCTAGTAAATCATATAGTAAAGAGTTACTATATATAGAACTACTGTTCTGCAGCTGGCTATAAAATAATTTATTCTGTGGTCACTTTGAGTTACGATAATTACTATACTAATTTACGAGATTATGGTAACTCCCTCATAAGTGATTTACTATAACATTACGGTAAGTATCATCTTGAATTATAGTAACTCATGTATTGTAAATGTGTATTGTCATTATCGTAAATTTGTACAAACATTATCGTAAATCATGGTGACTATAGAATAAGTTATTCTGTGGCCAGCTATACAATAGTCTTGCAATATATATATATATATATATATATATATATATATATATATATATATATATATATATATATATATATACACACACACACAACATCATGTTATGTGAAGCTCGTGCGTGTACCATCTCTATAGGATACTTTTCCCATATCATTCTTATCTTAACTAGTATAGTGCTCGCGTGCTAACGCTACGGCTTTATTTAGAGATGTACATGGAAACAACCAAACAACAAATTTTTTTCCAGAGTTCAACTTTCACACAATTGTATATGACCATGTATATACAATCTGGGAAACACTTACACGTAACAAGGCATAATAAAGTTATTTCTCGCATTAACCATATAATTTACAATATGTCTAAGTCCTTAAACATGTCTTGGAGATCTTCATAGCCACTTCATGCAAACTTCATCCCAAATAATCAAAGATGTCGTACCAAGCTTCTTAAAGTAGATATAGCTTCTTAAAGTAACTCTATAATTCACTTTTGATAAATGAAAGAAAAAATTGTATTTGATCTTTTTTAAAATTAAATAGTAGATATAGTAGTAAATATATGTGCGCAACCGCGATGGATATTTATCTAGTTGTTCCTCGGTTTCTCCCTTTCTCCCATCCTGTTTTTCTTTCTTCAGATGATTTTCGGATATTAGAAAGCTAACTAATGAAAATTATTGGACAAAAGAAAAAAAGCATTTCTTCTTGGCATAATCAACTGATTTATCAAGTAAGTTTTAAGTACTCCATCTGTTTTAAATTATAAGTCGTTCCAGCTTTTCTAGATACATACTCCCTCCATTCCAAATTATAAGTCGCTTTGACTTTTTTTTGTCCATCCATTTTGCTATATATCTAGATATATTATTATATCTAGATGCATAACAAAATAGATGTAACAAAAAAATCAAAACGACTTATAATTTGAAATGGAGGAAGTAGTTTTTACTATGTATATAGACATAATGTATATTTAGGTGCATAGCAAAAGCTATATATCTAGAAATTAGAACAAAACTAATTGTCTCTAGCTTGCGTGTTCTATTTCATAATGGCCTTTTATTTTCATAATCACGTGTCAAGTCAGTTCGTTTATTTTGTAAATTTGGTCGGGGCGTGTAGTGTGTTACTTTTATAACACAGTGGTCTAACTTCTCTCTTTGATACCAAATGTGCTAAACTTCTTCATTGATCTCCTCTCTGTGAGCCCGGACTGTAAGTGACCTGTTTTGCTTCCTTGTCCAGGGTGCCGCCGTTGGTATTTTATGAGAAGAAAGGGGTAGACCTTTCCAG